ACAGATTCCCAGGGGTACACAGACCATACTTTGAGAACCAGTGTCTTTTTTTTTGTTTGTTTGTTTTGAGATGGAGTCTCGCTGTCACCCAGGCTGGAGTGCATGATCTCAGCTCACTACAACCTCCGCCTCCTGGGTTCAAGTGATTCTCCTGCATCAGCCTCTTAAGGAGCTGGGATTATAGATGCCCACCACCACACCCAGCTAATTTTTCTATGTTTAGTAAAGACAGGGTTTCACCATTTTGGCCAGGGTCGTCTCGAACTCCTGACCTCAGGCAGTCCACTGGCCTTGACCTTCCAAAGTGCTGAGATTGATAACCACTGTTTTATACCGTTTTTTGTTTAACTTAATCACTATTGCATTTTGGTGTTTTTCCAGAGGGTAACAGTGAATCACAGTATTTGTGGAAAAGGTTTACATTGAAGTTGTAACAGTGTTGTAATTTGGAGGTATTTGAATGTGGAAAAAAACTAAAAAATACTCAGATTCAGACTCATCTCATTTTGGATTGCATTACCTATGTAATTTTTTTTTTAAAGACAGTTTTGCTCTTATTGCCCAGTGCCCAGTCTGGAGTGCAGTGGCGCAGTCTCGGCTCACCACAACCTCCACCTATCGGGTTCAAGCAATTCTCCTATCTCAGCCTCCTGAGTAGCTGGGATTACAGGCACGTGCCACCACACCCAGCTAATTTTGTATTTTTAGTAGAGACAGGGTTTCTTCATGTTGGTCAGGGTTGTCTTGAACTCTCGACCTCAGGTGATCTGTCACCTCAGCCTCCCAAAGTGCTGGGATTACAGGTGTGAGTTACCGCACCTGGCGCTCATATAATTTGTAATTATCCTAAAGCAAGTGATTTAGTGCTAAATTTCAAATACATAAAGTAAATAAACCCCGAGGTTTTATTGTCTTTCATATTTTTGGCATTCGAGAGTCTGGAAGTTAGGAGGGCATTTGAATTAACTGAGTATTTGCTTCATAGCGAAAAGTGATTACTTTGTCTTTTTCAGGATGTAGAGTCACTGATGAAATTTTGCATTTAGTGCCAAATAAAGAAACTTTTAGACTCACCCTAAGAGCTGTCAAATTATGGGCAAAACGTAAGTATCACTAGTCTTTTATGTTTGCATTATAAAATTCTAATTGTCTCTTGCCAGTGATAGAAACACATTTAGAAACTCTGATCCTAAAGATTTTGTTGGAGGTTGAGGACCAATAAAGTCTGGAGTAGCTATTTGCTTTTCAGGTACAATGGTTATGGTGTTTTGATATGTAGTATGCCTCTTCCTCCCTTGGGTAAAAACTAAAAGCCCATGACTTTTCATCTTAGATTCAGCCAGGTAGTCAGAATAAGTCAGAACTTGAAGACTGACACCCCTCCCTGTGGGTAGCACCATCTTACATATCTTTGTATTCCCACCAGCAAAGAGTCTGGTTTATACTGTAGTAGGTATTCAATAAAGTTATTGAGGGAAGAGCCTACAGTGATGATTTTCACTTGTTTTTACCTTATAGCACTTTTCCAATAAAGCCTGGAACTGTTACTAGTTTATGTATAAATAGTTTATATATTTAGGTTCTTAAAAATCCCTTTGCTTACCACTGAGCTGGCACAGCACATTTTGTATAATTTGTTGTTTAGGCACACCTCTGAGATATTGCAGGCTCAGTTCCAGATCACTGCAGTAAAGCAAATTACAATTTTTTTTTTGTTTCCCAGTACATAGAAAAGTTACTGCAATCTATTAAGTATGCAATAAATAGCATTATGTCTTCATAAATGTGCGTACCTTAATTTAAAAATACGTTATTGCTAAAAAATGCTAACAGTCAGCTGAGCGTTCAGTAAGTTGTAATCTTTTTGCTGGTGTAGGGTCTTGCCTTGATGTTGATGTCTGCAGACTGATGAGGATGGTAGTTGCGGAAGGTTGGGGTGATTGGCAATTTCTTTTTTTTTTTTTTTTTTTTT